GAGCTGTGTGCTGTCCTGTCTGCCCTGTCCGGGGGCCTGGGCTCAGGGGAAGCGTCTCTGTGGGGCATGGAAGGATGTTGGGGATAGAGGCATGGCGCTAAGAGACAGCAGGCCGAGGACGGTGGTAATTTCCTCTGTAGCATTTCCTCAGGTTGAGAAGAAAGCAGAAGGAAAATCTCACTTCAAAACCAGTTATTGCTGAGCTGAGGAGCTGCAGAGGACTGGGGGCAGGGGGGGGGGGGCANGGGGGGGGGGGGGGGGGGGCGGGGGGGGGGGGGGGGGGGGCACAGGGACCACACTCAGCACCCAGGCAGTCCCCAGGAGCCGTCTCTCCTCCGTGTGTCCCGCATCTAATCCTGCTGTCCCTCCCGCTCATGACCCCCCGTGCTTGGGGAGAGGATGTTGCAGGCCTGAGAGGCGCATGGAGCAGGCACGTAGGAGACGGGCCCACGTGGGCGCTGACTGAGTTCTACGTTGGGGAAGAATCTTTTCTTGTGTCCTCCCTCTTTGCCGTCCTGTCTCCATCTTGACACGAAGCTTGTGGTGTGTGTGTGAAGTAGATTATGGGATCGGTGGTCAGTTTGTGGGGACCCGTGTGGCAGATGGGGAGGAGCAGGAGGCTCTTGGGGACCGGGTGCAGGTTCTAGATCCAGACTGCAGTGTGCTCGAGGCCTGCTCCGCCTCTTTGAGCCCCCGCGTTTCATGGCTCGGACGTCCAAATGCCCTCCTTGATGATGGGAGGTCCGACCCACCTTGCGCAGGGCCCTGCCGCGTGCTTGGGTCACGTGGTGAGCGCCCAGCAGCCGCTGTCCCTTTAGGGGAGCTGCACTGTGCATGCTCAGGCCCAGCTCAGGTGCAGCCCTGCCCCGTACCCAGGCCCTGCTCATTGTCCGGCAGGTTGGGAAGTCTCACATGTTGCCCGGTGAGCCCACTGGCTGTTTCCAATTCTGGGCCTCTGGAACAACCTGGGAGCCTCTTGGGGCAGGACCTCTGTTTGGTCATTCCCAGCCCCGCCCTGGCCCTAGGTAGAAATGGCCCATCCTCCCATTGGGCCATGCCCCCTGTACCTTGCTGGGGCCTGGCTCAGTTGGTGCTGGCAGCCTGTTGACCCCTGTGCTTCTCAGAGCACAAGCCATGGGCCCTGGAGGCTTTTACAGAGCACCCAAGCCATTTTCCAGTGTTGCAGGTTTGACTGAGGGTTACTTTGCCAAGCATCTTTTTCCTGGTTAATTAGTGAATTGCGTTGCAAATAAAATTGTCCATGTTTCTGCTTCATTTCCACTGGCTCATGAAAATATTACTGTTGAAAAGATATCTGGTTGTGAGGTCTCTGAAGCCCTTTGCAACTCTGACATCTCTGTTTTGTCTGTTTGTTTGGTGGCTTTCCTCCCGTTCCACCCCCACCAGCCCTGGCTGGCGGCAGGTGGAGGGCTGGATATGATTTGGTTAATCACCTGCATCCTTATGACTCAAGTAGAGTTTAAACACAGCCAAGAAGGCTCTTATTTCAAACCTCTTCAGCAGCCTTTAGCAGAATAAAAGCTTTTAAGCATCCTTGGGGCCCGAGTGGTACTAGACCCTTTAATTTCAGGGAGTTCTGTGGCGGGTGGGGATGTATCTTCCTTTCTGTGGCATCTGGCAGGTCCAGGGCAGGACCAGGGCCCTGCAGCTGACACTTGCAGCCACCATTGGTCTGACTTCAGTTCCAACAGGATCTGTGGTGCTTGCTCAGTGCCAGGGACACCACTACCCCTGAGAGCATGATGTCCTACAGAGGCATAGCCTCGCCAATGGCCTGGCCGGGCCATCCATCCCACATCCATGGCTCTTTATGGTACTTCCAGCAGACAGTGGGTGACTGCTCTGTGCTGGGGGCAATGTCCAGGGCTGGGTGCCTTTGCAAGGGACGCATCCTCTGAACCTCGGTTTCCCCTTCTGTAAAATAGGGTTACTGTCACTTTTCATCCTGTGGCTGGGGTCTGGGACAGGGCAGGCGCTGGACGGATGTGAGCCCCCCAGGACAGGCTGTGCGCCTTTGTCCTGTGTCATGGCCCCAGACCACTGGTGTGAGGAGTGAGAGCCACCTAGCATACGTGGTGGCCCTCAGCAGACTTCCCCCCTGCCCCTGCCCTCCCCGTGCTCGGCCCTGGGCTCACTGGTCCTTGTGGATGGAACAGGTGCAGAGGCTCCATCATTCCCACACTTGCTCCCTTCCCGGCTCTTCAAGCGGCAGCAGCAGGTGGGCCTGGGGTGGGCGGAGCTGCCGGACCCAGGTGCTGACTCTTCTTCCTCGGCAGGTGCACAATGTGTCGTTTGCCTTTGAGCTGATGCTGGACGGAGGGCTCAAGAAACCCAAGGCTCGCCCCGAAGGTAATGCCCAACTCAGGTGCCCTCGGGGAGGGTCGGGGGCACAGAAGGGAAGTAAAATCAGGTCTTAGGAGTGGCCAGAAGTCTGGATGTGTCATCTCCTGAATAGGTCCCATATCCCTGGCTCTTGCCGACCTCAGCTCCTTGTTCTTGTTTCGGGGACCAGGAGGACCTCGCTGGTAGAGCTGGAGATGCTGATTCTTTAATAACCACTTGACTCTGAAGGACATGGCCTCTGCCCACAGACCTCAGGATTTAATTGCCTCTCTAGCTGGCCACTTAAGCTGGAAATACTGTTTCATGCCTTGAAAAGATATTAAAGGCTTACTAAGATTTAATGAATGTCAGGGTTGAGGTCCCCTGATGTCCAGCAAAGGGCAATGCTCGTGGCAGGGACTTGGTATGGTCATGCTCCGTGTGGGTTTGAATGGCGGGGGAGGCCAGCAGAGCTAGGGCGGGGGTCACCTCACTGTCTCTACCAGCTCGTGTGTTATGTAACCTGTGCCAGGGTTCTCTGAGTATCAGAATCCCTGAGAGCGCTTCCTAAAGCACAAATTTTGATTTGAGGTGTGGGTGGGCCTGACAATTTGCGTCTCTAACAAGTTTCCTGGTAACATTGATGCTCCTTGACCACAGACTCCACTTTGAGAATCACCATCCTTGGTGACAGCATTTGCCAACCTATGTTCTGGAAAGTTTGGGCGCTGTCAGCAGGTGCTCTGGTGCAGTCAGGCTTGGCAGCGTGTGGGCAGCACTGCCCGTGAGCCCTTGTTGGAAAGTTGCAGGGCTGAGCTGAATGTTAAAGCACTGACAAGTCCTGCGTGAAGAAATCTATCTGCCTCGTCAATCCCTGGGCCATACGGGAGGATCCCGTGGAACCCAGACACCGTGGTCTAGTGCCCGTGGGTACCCCCTTTTTACCCTGGGCCCCCACCCAGCCCTGCTCTTCCTCCTGGTGGTATCTGAGTGGGGGCGTCCGTGATGCTTCTTACACCCCCGTCAACACCCTCTCCACAGTAGGGTTTGTAGAGTCTCCACACTAGCTGGAAATTGATCCCATCATATGTGTCACCTGCCTGTCCACCCAGCAGGCCCCGGCGTAGCCTCCTGACCATCCTCCCGACTTCAGAGGATGATTCCATGCCCACGGTCTCACTATGTGTCAACCTGTGTGTTCTTTACTCCTCCTCTCTCCCTCCAGAATGGAAGCCCCAGGAGAGCGGGGCTTTGTCCCCTGCGTGTCCCTGCTGGCTGCGACTGTTGTTAGCTCAGCGCTAGTGTCTGCTGGGGTTACGCTCCGGTGGGGAGGAGAAATCCTCACTCGTACCTGGCACTCCTGCCAAGAATCCTTGGCTTGGCTGGGGGTTTTCCTTGAGTATCCTCCATCCCGGAGTCCTGGGCCCTGTTTGCAGCATGGGGTGGGGCTCCCAGAGGAGCCCCAAATAGCCCTTGGCCTTCAAGCTGCCGAGGGAGCCCTGGTTCTCTGTTCCCTTTTGAGGACTGAGGCAGGGTCCTGTTCAGAGGCTGGGACCTCTTCTGCCGGTCTGGGCTTTGAGGAGGGGGTTTGCCCCTCCAGCTGGCTTTGGGTTTCATGCCCATCTGCGTAGAGAGCACTCCAGGCATGGCACATTAGAGAACCTGCCATGGAAATGAAAGGCGGCCAGAGGCAGAGCAAGTGGCCCAGGGCTGTGGCGAGTTCTGCAGCCTCTGGGCAGGGTCACTTGGGGGTCCCAGGGCCTCTAGCCAGCCCAGGCAAGGGACATTGCTGCTTGGCTGTGTTCATCAGCACCTCTCTGGGCCAGCCCTTCACGAACCAGGCTGCAGAGATTCACGAGACAGGGTCCCTGGAGGCCTTTCTGTTTGTAGGTGATGCAGCAGTGAATAATAACTCTTTCCCGTCTTCATTCAAAACGAGACAGAGATGAGAATGTCTGCTCTGTACTGACGTGGAGAACCAGGGGCTGTGTCTGTGGCCTCCCTGATCCCCTCCCCCAAGGTAGACAGACTTACCCGGGTGCCTAGTACTGGGGGAGCCCCTGGGGGAGCTGAGCAGGCCTCAGCCCCTGGCAGGTATGAAGGAAAGAGCCCACAGGACTGCACCAGGCCTGCTACTGGTGCCCCTGGCTCCCGGATTTCATGGGTCACCCTCTCACCCTGGGAGTGAGCCTGGAGGAGACTTGTGGAGGTCCTGACACTGCCCTTAAGAAAGGCCCCTTTACAGGGAGAAAGAACCTTGTCATTAACTCCAAGTTCACAGGGCTATGTGCAGGAGCCGGATAGCAGGGCAGCATTTTGGGAACACAGAGGGACACCCAGCCCACCTGGGGAGGCAGCTGAGTTCATGGGGCCACAGGGTGGGATTCCTGTCCTTGGGTGTGGGTGTTAAATGCTGGCTGTGGTTGCGGGAGGTCTGGTGGGATTCACGAGTGTTGTGCTTTGTTTCCCCAGTGAGGCTCTCAGAGCCTCTTGGAGGTCAGACCTGGGAATGGCCAAGCAGGGGTGTTGGTGGCCAGGCTGCCACGCTGTGTCCCTGTGAATCCACCAGGAGGGTGGAACCTGCAAGGGCAGGGGGAGGATGAGGGCCTCACGCCTCTGAGGGCTCCGCTGTGTCCCTGATGGGTCCCTGTTCCCTTGCCTTGGCCTCCCTCTCCTGCCACCTGCGTTAGGCTGTAGGGGAGCTGGGGTGGACCCAGCAGGGGGAGGAGACCCTGGGTGTATCCGCAAGCCCACCGACTCGAGCTCAGTTCTGGTTTTGCTCCGGCGGTACATAGTGGGCACGCCATTTCCCTGCCGTGGGTGTGGGTCTGCTTTGCAAAACAGGAGGGAAGGAAAGGAGGCTGCACCAGGCGCCCTCCCGCTCCAGCGAGGCTGGGGGTAGCACCCCTGAGGCTGGTGACAGGACAGTTGTTGATTCACAACCACCCAGCCTGCCTGCCTTGGCAAGAAGTGCCAATTCTTGCTCACATGGCTAATGACCTGCAGGGGTAAAGCAAGGTGGTCATTCTGTGGCTGCCTTTGAACCACAGGGAGTCGGAGCTCGAAGGGCCTTTAGCATCGTCTGGTCCAACAGGCCTGTCTCACAGTTGAAGAGGCTGAGGCCCAGACCAGGAAGTCACTTATCTGAGGTCACAGGGCAAGTGAGAAGATCCAGGTGCCAACTCCCAAGAAGGTCTCCTTCCCACCAAAGAAAGTGGCCCAGACTCATAGGGCCGCAGAGGGGGCTGTCAGGTCTCTTAAGTGTTACTGGGGTGTTTGGTCCCCCAGTAAATGTCATTGGCCACCCCCCACCGCTGGTCCTCGGACATATCCTCATGCAAATCCCAGAGCGCTGAAGGAGCATCTCTGTCCTTGCCGTCCCAGACGCTCGTTCCCCGGGGGACAGCCTGGGCTGGGGACTCTCACAGCGGCCTGTGTGTGTGTGGGGGGGTGCTGCCCAGAGTGTCCTGGACATGGTGGCAGTCGATCTTTAAACAGAAGCGCTCAGCCCTGGGCAGGGAGAGCAGCTGCTGAGAGAGCCCTGGGGATCACAGGACACGGCTGTGTTCTCTCATCTTGCCAACAGTCTCTCTGTTTCCTTCCGCAGATGTGGTAAACTTGGACCTCAAATCCACCCTGAGGGTTCTTTACAACCTGTTCACCAAGTACAAGAACGTTGAGTGACCTGGGAGCAGCAGACAGCTGCGGGGACAGTTTCCCAGCAGGAGAAGTGTCGTCCGCCTGTGCCCCGCGCCTCCCCAGGGTCTCAGCTGTGTGATTATCACCCCACCCCACCCCTGCCTTTTTTTGGTTGTGTTCTTAACCTCCTCCCCCTGTAATTCCGCGGTGGGCAGGAGCCTTTGGAAATGCAGGCTTCTAAACATCAAGGCTGTGTTGCAGGCCTCGCCCCACGTCGTTCTGCAGGATGCTGAGTCAGTTGTCTGCCTTGATCAAAAGATGAAAAGAAAAAGCCCATGGACGGCGCCCCGCGTTCCATCTGATGGAGCGGTCACGGTCATGGGTGCGTGGAAGTGCGCCGTCGGCTTTGCAGGAGCGCTGGCTCCGGGAGGACTCAGGCTCACCACTCTCCAGCATCTCCAGGGCTGGGCTCTCCTTGAAAGTGAGGCCTTTTTGGTAAAAGGGTCCTGCAGTTTTAAAAACTTCGCTCTGAAGTCCCAGAAGCTTTAGACGTGATGGGAGTGTCCAGCCCACGATCCAGTGACTTCTTGGCCATTCACCGGTGTTTTAGTTTTGCTTTTGCGCGAACATCTGAGAGCCAGGGTGATGCCGCCGTGGTCCGCAGGAGGAACGCTCTGCCGGGGCCCTGCTCTGCTTCTTGCTGTGGCTGGGACCAGAGTTGGCTGCACATGTGCTGCTCGTGACAGCTCAGGCCAGAACCTTCCCGTCTCAGAGGCCCTGTTTGGAAATGGGTGCATTTTCAGAAACGATGAAGGGGTGAGGTGCGCTAGTCTGCTCGTGCCCCAGACTGGGCGGCTCAAGCAACAGAAACTTACCTCCTCGCGGTCCTGGAGCCTGCAAGTCCGAGGTCAGGGCGTCGC